GGAGCCCAGAGCGCGGGCCGAACAGTCGGCCGGAGTGCGCAGACCCGAGGCAAGGCCCACCCCCCGGGGGAGCGCCCGCGGAAACCGTGGAGAGGAGCTGCCGCCCGGGCTGCCTAGAGGGCCTGAAAGGGACTCTGCCCCCGGGGAGCCGTCGCCACCTGTGTGCAGCGGCACCACAGAAGAGCCTGAGCCGGGGGTGTAGGCGCCTTCCCCCAGACCTGCAGCGCCCACAGGTGCTATTTTAACGGACTGGGACGTGGACTTTACCCTCTCCTGGACTGGGAGAAGGGAGGCTTGGTTCTTCAAACTCCTCAGGATCGGACTTTATTTTTTACTGGGGGGCTGTGCTGCCCTTTCAAGGGTTTTCAGTAGTTGGTGTTTGCGTTTCCAACCTCAGAATTCCAGGCACTCCCCTTCCCCTCCAGTGACATACTTGTGCGAACGGTCATCGTTGCGTCATGGGGCAGACGTGGGGAGCTTCCTGTTGCCTTGCGTGGGTGTGAGGCCGTGGAGGAGGATCTGGGGTGTGGACCGCCCTGGGGAATGGGAGGAGGGCGGCCTGAGTCATTTCATCTCGGGAGTGCTGCGGCTTGTTGCCCCCAGCCTCTAAGCCTTTGGGATCTAAAGGCTGATTAATTTCAGGTTAAAAATTTCCTCATCTGGTGCATTAGAGGTGCGAATACGTTCGCAATGTCAAGCTTGACCCTCTCTCAGACACACAGACAAAATCAACGCAGACGTTCCTGGTATGAATCACAAAAATAGGGGGGAGGGGATTTTTCAGAGTGCTGTAAGGCTGAGCTGGGATCAGTTGCTGGTGAGACTGGGCCAGTTTTGGGTAGGGGGAGATTGTTGCCAGGGCGTTCTGAGGTTCTGTTTACGTTTACTGTGATGGATTCTGTTAACTCCATCTACCTGGCCTTTTCACTAGAAAGGCCAGATAGGAAAATAAAGGCCATTTGAATAAAAAGTCTGCAGCCCGTCTGGTTTTCTTCCCTGGCAGGGGAGGGGAAGGGTTAAGGGGTCAGGAGCTGGCCGAGGCTTGCAGGGGCCCCAGAAACCCGTCTGACCGGCTACCACGTGGGCAGAGTGGGCGGGCGGGGGCCAGGCCCGTTTTCTTTGCCAGAGCACTTCCGTGCTGGGCGCCTTGGCGCTCCAGCTCCTCCTTAATCTTCACATTTGGAGGTTCCTTGGACAGTCCACTACAATTCTGGCTGCACAGGAGACCTTTCCGAGTTCAGACTTTTGGGAGGGTGGATACTGTTGCCTTCAGTGCCCCCAGCAGAGATGGGGGACCAATGCCTCCTCTGGAGACAAGGAAGTCTCCTAACAGCCCCTCGCCCCACTTGATTAACTGAATCAGCACTGGCAGGGATCCCACGACTGGGGTGGAGCTGAGCAGGTGAGCTTTTGAGCACCCTTTATGCCTCCTTCAAGTCTCCCGCTGTGTAATTGTGTGGTCCAGGCTGGGAGGTGAGCTCCCAGCCTCAGTTTCCTCATCTGTGAAGTAGGCCTTAACAGCTAGCTTCCCTGCGAGAGGCTGTAGGTTTAGAAATGCCCATGGGAGCACTCCTTTGCTTTGGCCCCACCCCAGCCCCGGGTTAGCCACCCCAAAAGGTGAAACCCTCATTATTTTCCCCATTGCTGGTTTAGGAGCTTGGCTGTAGGCGTTGCCCAGGGCGGGTGGGGGTGGGGGCTGTTGGGAGGACAAAGGAGCCGCAGGTGCGGGCAGTGAGCGCGGCTCCGGGAAAGCGCCCGCCCCGCCTCCAGACTGCTGGCTCCGCCACTGCGAGCCTCCCGAGACCCCCAGGGGACCTGACCCCGGGGCGGCAGGGTAGAGGAGGAGGGTGCGGTGGAGGGGTGGCCCCGCCCCAGAACGCCCGCCCCTTGCTCCCCTCCTGCAACCACGGCACTCCCCACCTCCCTCCCTTCCCTAGGGGAATCTCACCTCCACCGCAGCTCGATTCCTTCCCGGGAAACGTGAAGGACTTTAGCGCCACCCACTTGGGGGCCTGACCCACAACTCCCCAGTGGGATGTGGAGGGACAGGAACCCCACAAGCCTAGCGGTAGCTTAATGCGTCCGCGTGGGAGCAACTCACTCCCGAACCTGGCCCGCCCTGGGAAGTCCCCGGAGGCTGGGGAGGGGGCATCACTGTGCATCCTGTCGCAGGAACCGCCGGGCGCTTCCTTCCGCGGGAAGCTGCTTGGCCGACCGTCGCCCCCACCCTGGCCGCCTGGGGGTTTCCGGTGCCTGGCCAAGGGAGCTGAGGGCTAGAGATGGAGTGGGAGCCCGGACAAACACCCCCCACATACATCCCGTTAAGATATACCCCTCCCCCCAAGACCCCTTTCGCCCATCAGAATAGGCAAAAATTGAAAATGGGTCACAACAACTGACATTGAAAGAGGCCTGGAGTTTTCACGCCATTACACTGGATTGGCATTGGGTTATTGGGACAGGCGCTGTGGGGAGTAATCGATTGGACAATAGCTGTGAAAACTAAAATGTCACAGATCTCATGACCAGCAGATTCCCCAGGGAACCTCAGGCCTTCAGCAGGAGGCTCCAGAAGGGTGTTCCCTCCAGTGTTGTCCAAAATTGTCACAAATTGGAAACAACCTACATGCCCATCTAACTGGACTGATCTAGTCGAATAGCCATCACTTCCTCCCCAGAAGATGAAAGGCCTGAGCCAGACAGGTCTACCCGCTCAGGCAATGGGAGGTAACTCAGAGCCAGGATGTTGGCTGACAAAGCCCTGCTGTAGAAGTTGTGGGATAAGGAATACAGATTCCAGAGCCAGATGGCCAGCTCTACTTGCTTGCTGTACAGCTAGGAGCAAGTCACTTCACCTCTCTGGACCTCAGTTTCCCTGGCTGTAAACTGTGGACAATAACAGACCCTGCCTCTTAGGTTTATTGTGAAGGTATTAAACGAGATAATACATGCAAAGTGCTTAGTAGAATGCCTGGCACACAAAGTGTTATAATTTTATTATTGTTAGAAGCCAGGATGGTGACAGTGCATTTAAAAGCACATACAGTAATCCAAGTATATGTATATGTATGGGAAAGTATGTATAGATGCTGTGCTAAGCCCAGAGAACTGGTAAAATAGTTTCTTCCTCCAGAAGCTCAGCGTGAACAAGAGCTCCCCTCCCAGATCCAGAGTTTGGTGGAATCCTAATGATTTGACAGGGTGGATTCTTCCTTCTGCAGACCCCCACACTCTCACTCCTGGTTACCTCACCAGCGGCCCCTGCCTCAGGCCCTGGGCCCCTCTCGATCTATGCTTACCCTTAGGTAGGCGCATTCAGCCTTAGGGCCCTAGCTGCCATCTCTAGGCTGACTCCCAAATTTCCCTCTCCATCCTGGACCTCCTCACAACCTCCAGACTTGTCTAGCCAAGCCTTCTCACTGTGTCTCCTCGTAAGGGTCTAAGATATTCCAAGTACAGCAGGACCTAAAGGGGATTCTTGCTGCTTCCTTTCACCCCACTCTGAACCTTTCCTCACCCTCATGGCTGCCACTCTGCTGTGAGCTGCCTTCACCTCTCACCTAGGTTAGGACAGTGGCCTCTCCCTGCCCTTGACCCCCACAATCTATTCTACAGGGCAGCTGCAACGATCAAATGCAATGCAAATGGAATCATTTCACTCTCCCAGCTTTACTCTGCATCATCTACACTGGCCTCCTTTCTGCTGGGAGAACAGGACAGGTGTGTTCCAGCCCCAGGGCCTTTGCACTCACTGTTCTTTCTTTCTGCCAGCAGTGCTCTTCTCTCAGATATCCACAAGCCCATCCTCACTTTCTTCAGGTTTCTGCTAAAATGTCACCCCCTTGGGGAGGCCTTCTTTGGCTGCCTGATCTAAAATAGCACCCCACTCTGCTCCTTTACCCTGCTCAGCCTTCCTTAGAACACTACTCACCACCTGAAAGGATATATTTATATTCTATTTAGCATCTCTGCCTCCATTCGAATGTTATTTCCACAAATGTCCAGCCCAGGCCTGAATGAGTGAATGAGGTTGTCTGGGGTAAGCAGATGCTTGTGCTTAATATTTATTATCTCATTAATCAATGACTTCCCATGGCTCTTAGAATACAGTTTCCCAAACTTCAGACAGCCGAAGGTCAGGAGTTTTATCATATCTGCTTAACAACTGTACCATTATTTAGCTAATTTTTAAAAACTTTTTAATCACTCCCCATACTTGGGATGTAACAGTTCATAAAAATTACAATAAAAATGAAACAATGTCATATAACCCTACTGAAACAGCAGCCAATGTGAGGTTCCAGACAGCTTTCTTTGTTATAAAGGAAGATTAGCAAGGTTAAAGACACATTATTGTCAAAGGAAGACTGTTTTAGAAGACTAGCGCAAAAAGGAGAGACTCTGAGGGATTCATTTCATGTTATTTAAATAACATTGAATCACTTTGCCCACTGTCCTGGAATTAGGAAAATTCTATTTCTGGAAGAGGGACAAAACTCCTCCTGTATGAAAGGCTCTGCTTGATCTGTGCTCAGCCCATCTCTGGCCTAATCTTGCATCACTCTGGCCACAAAGACATGCTTTTTGTTCATTATACTTACACAGTCTTCCCAGCCACAGGGCCTTAGCATATGCTGTTATTGCCTCCTAA